CCAGACTTCTAGTGAAATAGAAAAAGCAGAGAGACAAGGGAGCACCACTGTGAGGCAGGCTTTTTACACACAACGTGGCATAGCAGTTAAAAGCGTCAACTCTAATTCAAATTCTACCTACACACTTACTAGATGTTTGACCTCTGGCAAGCCACTTAACCATCCAAGTCTCAGAAAAATGGGGAAAATAACAAAACCTACTTCAGAGTTGTTGTGAGGGTTAAATAATACAAATAAAGTGCACAGTGGCAGGCACACATTAAGTACCCCAAAATATTATTTATCATCATCATATAATCCCCAAAACAACCCTATGAGAAAAACTATCCTTTTCCCTCCTCTTAAGGAAGAAAGAGCTTGTAGGCAGGCCAAGGATGAGTTCAAGGATTTGCCACTGAACCCTTCTGGAGTGATCTATCTCGGTTATCTGTTTGAGGCCATGCTATATCCTGCAAGGGAAGGTAATCTAGGTTTACTGGAGACTGGAAGAACCTACCTGGGACCTGGGGATCCGATCAAGAAAAAAACAAACTTGTGTTGCCGCTGAGTCGATTCCAAGTAGAACTGTCCCATAGAGCTTCCAAGGCTGAAATCTTTACAAAAGCAGACTGCCACATCTTTCTCCTGTGGAGCAGCTGGCGGGTTCGAACTACTGACCTTTCAGTTAGAGGTCAAGTCCTCAACCACTGTGCCACCAGGGGCTCCTTGGGGACCTGACAGAGGGTATATTCCCCAAGAAGCTGGTATCCCTACACCTTCTCTCTCCCTACACTAGAGGACAAGGAAACCCCACCCTAGACGACAAGGAAACCAGTCAGGAAGGGAAAAGGTACCTTGTCACTTAATTTTGGTATTTCTAATTTCAGTCTTGTATCATGGTTGCTTATACACCAGTCTTTTCTCTCCATCTAGGGAGCCCCTTGAGAGCAGGATGGACATCAAGTTCATTCCTGAATGCCTCTATATCCACGAGTATGACCGCCCAGGGCAGATCTGTAGCTCTCAACCAATATACACTGGAATAATGGTGTACCTTGACTCTTCCAGTGCATGGCCAAATTTTCAGCAGTGTACAAAACCTCCTTTTGCTATAACTGAGCTTACATGGTGCTACCCTTTAGCACAACCCTGAGTGGAGTGGGTCATATGGCATGGTGTAGAGAGAGTACTACTTATTGAATAGAGGCCTGCCATCAAGCAGGAACCACAGCCTGAATGCTGACTCACATGTGAGGCTATGTAATGTGGTCAAGAGTAACCTCTAAAGCCAAGATACTTACATTCTACCACTGAACTAGCTGTGTGACATGACCTTTGGGAAGTGTCTTAAGTTCTTTATGCTTCAGTTATCTCACCTGTAAAATGAGGATAACAATACATATCTCTGTGGTTGCAAGAGGATTAAATAGTTTAATTCATGTAAGCATTTAGAACAGTGCCTGACACATTAGAGAGCAAGCAGTTAGCTGCTGCTGCTGCTATTATTATTGCTTTTGTTGTTGTTGGAACCTGCAAGAGCTTTTCCTTGTGAGTATGAAAGGAACGGTGGTCCGTTCTACTATAACATTAACGTAGACTTGAATTGTAATCCAGGAAAGAATACCATTAAATGGGTGCAATAAAGTCTCAAGTGTGTCGCCAAAATTCTAGTATTTGGAAATGTGCCTTGAACGTAAAAGGAATCACAGGAGTAGGCACTCATTAAGTGTTGAATAAATAAATAAATAAGCATCTGGAGTACAACAGCCCCCAGAGCCCAAAGAGAATCCAATTTGAGAAGGTAAGGCAGGAAAAGGCCCTAAGCACAGGTTCCCAGAAAGACGTTCCTGTACCCTAAAGACCCAGAAGGCAGCCTAGGTTCCCCTCTGGGGAACTGGGTCCCAGGGGCTGATACTGCAAGAAACCCCTGCTTGCTCACTGTTGTGTATCTCTGATGGAATCTCCACATTCTATGGTTGCTATATTCTGAATGAAGCTGCAAAAGGCTATTCCATGGCAGTGCATGCAAGCCCATTTCCCAGCCTGTATGAAAGGAAGTAAGGGACTCTCTGAGACCACAGAAAGGGAGGCCTAACCTTCTCTATGACAGACCTAGCCCTAAGTTAAAACAATCATAGGGGCTTCTTTCTTTTGCTATAGATTATGCTTGGATTTCTGCTTTCCTGTGGAGCCTTGGGTTCTGAGTCCCACCTTTACTAGCTATGTGACCTTGGGAAGGCACTTGATTTTTCCGAGGCTCAAGGTTTCCCATCTGCGAAATGGGGATAAAAATCCCTGCTCTGCCCATTTGCAGCACAGGTTGTTGTGAAGGCCAAAGGAGTTAAGATATGGAAGTGTGCTCTATTACTTGTGATGTGCTACATAAATGTATCAGGAATATTCCCCAGGACAGACAGCAGCTACAGGTATTCTCAGACAGGCACCTGGGCAGGAAGCCAGTCAGTGGAAGCAGGGGGTAGATAGTGCACAACTTGGCACTGCAACCAAGCACTGTGCTCCTCAAGTGTAAGGGCAATTGATTAAAATCCTTTCATGTGGAATCAGTATTTCCCTCATTAAAACAATCCTTCTCCTTGAAAACACTGAATGCCACCCTTCACAGCCCCACAGACTTGATTCTGCAGACAGTGTATTCACTGGAGTATTTGTTTTTATTTTCCACATTCAGGTAGGGGAATGGGGGGTGCGCTGACCTCTCTCCAGGGTGCTGATCCAAACATAATGTGGGGCTGTGCATTGGCATCATCCCACAGTGTCACATATTTGGCTCACAGGGGACAACTGAGAATGATACCACAGTCACAGCCACTCTGCCTTGTCCCTCTGGTAACAACATTAATTCCACAAATATTACTAAGGATCTGCCTCTTGAGCGACTGAGCAAATATGTCCTTGCCACCTTCCTTTTAAGACCCTTCAGAGCTTCCTACCACCAAGAATCAAGTCCAAACCCTTTAGTGTGGTTTACAAGCCTCTTCATGAGTTAAGGTTACCAAATCTTACAATCCTCCAAGTAGCTAGTAAATCACACTCATTTTACAGTCAGCTGCCCAAGGTCACACAGTGCGCAAGTCATCATGAACCAGGTTCTTCCTGAAGGGCTGGGCATCACACTCCAAAGTACAGACTCGAGTTCAAGACTACTTTTTCCTTGATTAGTCTATGGGGGGCAGGTATGAAGAAGGAACTCTGTATGGCTCAAGCTGTACCTTTCCTTTCAGGGAGCAGCCTGCACACTGTCCCTTGAGGTTGCCAATCTGACCCCTCTCCCTCCCACAGCTGCAGCTTCGTTAATAAATTGGGCTTAATGATCAAAATGCCCACTGCATGTAATATAGTACACATTCACATACTTGAGTTCAAAAGGCCCTACACTGCCATGAGGGTCAAATAAAAGCCAACCACTACAACTTAGCAAAAAATCAGTCAACCCCCGAGACAAGAGCATAACATACCCAACGCCTAATGGGTTTTTAAACTAATCATTTCAACTGATCATGACAGAAACAGCTGTGGTATCTATGGTCTTTTTCCTCTGTCATCATCTTAGAATTAACTAACCCCTTCTGGTCCCTTCCCCTCAAAAAAAGAGAAACTACATTAAACAATCTTCTACACTTCAACAATTGGTTAAAAAAAAAAGGTTTCCCCAAAACTGTAATAGGTGTCTCAGCTGCAGCAGAAAGAGAATGGGCTCTGGACAGAGCCAGACCAGGGTTTAAACCCACTTTCTTACTAGCCATGTGACCTTGGAGAAGTCATTAAACTTCCTGAGCCAATGTTCTCTATTAGGCATATTTTCCCCTTCCCTCCATACTGACTGAGTCATTCACCAAGCCATGCTGATTTGGCCACTTAAGTATTTTTAGAATGTAGCTCCATTCTTATCAGTCTTCAAATTCATCCTCCACAAAGTTACTGGAGTAATACGACCATATCAGTCCCTTGCTTAAAACTGAAATTAAGATCAGAAGTTTTGCTTTACTACCTTAAAATCCTTCTTAAACAACAATTTGGACATGAATTTGTACTTTTTAGAGTGTTTACTATTTGAAATTACCATAAGAAATCACCTAAGCCCCTACCCCTCTATAGGACATATCTACTGTTAATATCTTGGTATGTTTTCTTCCAGTGTTTTTTCTTGTTCATTATATTTGGATTACATAGTTGAATTCATAGTATACAAATTCTGTAGACTAATTTTTTTTCAATTAACATTGTAATACATTTGTTATAATATTATAAAATATCTGTCCATATTATTGTTACATATTTTCAATAAACACTTTTTTATAACTACCATTTTAAGTAGCTCATAGTTTTCCCAAGTGGATTTATCATACTTTAGACTGGTGGTCATTTAGGGTTTTTTCCAATTTCTCACTATTATCAATACTGTAATAGCATTTGAGGGAAAGTTTATTCTACATATTGGATTATTTCCTTAGGACAGATTTCCAGAAGTGGAATTACTGTGTCAAAATTATGAACATTTTCTGCCTCTTGAGACACACTGCCTAACTGCTTTCCAAAAGAGCTACCACCAGTGAACGCACCACTTTCATCACAACCTCACCAGGATTGTGGGATGAAAGACGACTAACACATGAGACCAAAAAGGGGCTACATAAGACAGGATGCTCTGATCACATTATGTGTGCATAAGTGGGGGTAACTTAATAGGAGAAAAACAAAACCTTATTGTTGTTTTTATGGACAGGTGAAAATGAACAGCTTCTGTGTTTCTTTACTAGTTCTTGAGTCTACAGAGTTTTGAATGCCACAAAGAAGTTATTGTAGGTCCTAAGCAGAGAAATAACATACTGAAAAAATTGTTACTTATTTATCAAAAAATCATTCACTGAGCACCTAATACTGCCAGACAGTGTGAACACAAATACAGAGGTGAATAAAGTACAATCTCTGCCAACACCTGTATTTCATCTTGATAAGGGCTATGACAGGAGCAATTAGTAATTCAGAGGTATGTCACTTACCTAAGCTTTGAAGGGAGAGGAGAGAGTCACAGAAGCAGGGTCATCAAGTTTTGATCTTGTCCTGAGGGACAAGTTGGAGTTAGCCCACACACAGTGAGTGGAAAAACACCAGGGAAAGAGGAAATGCCATGAGCAAAGTTACGAAAATTTGAGTTTCCATATTTAGGGAATAATAATATGTATTGTAGTTTGGCTGGAGTGTAGGCTATAAGAATGGATGTTGCAGGAGATGATAACAGAGACAGCAAAGCAGAGGCCAGATCAGAAAGGGTCTTGTGGGCTGCTGAAGAGCCTAGACTTCGTGGGAGCCATCACTCATTCCTATGTCACATGCAGGACAGTAAGACGTCCCTCCTAAGTCCTTATAGCTCGAGAGTCTGAACCACACAACTCAAACCCTGATCAGAGCATCCATCTTGTGTTGACTCCTTTTTGTCTTACGTGTTAATCTCTCACCAGGCAGGATAGAGAGAATGTTGGTAGCTTTTTGGACATTTTCCACATCACCTAGCACGTTGCCAGGCAAGTGGCAGGAGCTCCAATAACCCTCAAGGACCGATTAATTGGAGGTACCTTCTGCAATAATGCATATATTCACAAAGCCTTTGCTGCCCTGGCATAGCCCTGCCAATCTCAGCAGATGCTCAGTCACTACCTCTCTTGGCAGATATCTTGCCTCAGAAAGCTACCCCTCCTCCTGCTCCTTCTGCCAAATAAAAAAATATGCCTGAGTACAAGAAGCTATAAAGTATGTGATAACTGAGGAGCACATCGGGTGGCCAGGAGGGAGGCCAGGGTGGGAAGGACAGGGAGTGTGGGCATAAATCCTTCCCCATAGTACATTCCTCAAGCCAAGACCTCCTCAGCCCTACCAGCAGTTTAGGAACACCAATCCACCTACCTTGTAAAAATAAAATAGGTTTTTCCAGTTGAGCATGCTAAAAATCTCCTGAGTAGCTGCTGACCTTCTCCAAGGTATTACTACTTTCTACATTAATAGCAGCTGCTTTAATGATGACAAGGATATTAACAAGATGATTTCAACAATTATATTAAATCTAATAGCAAGGCATTCTTGCCCTGCTAGCTGTAGTATAAGCCATAGGCAGTGGGACTCTGATGTGGTACTGGCTAAGATACACCTGAGGAGACTGAATTAAAATGATCTGTTTCCGTGTCAGTCTCTCCTCCTAGACTGTGAATTCCTGGACAGCAGGAACCACAATCTAATTCATCTTGGCATCCCCACTGCTTTCCAGATAGGCCTGGCCCACAGTGGGTGGCTCAGGGAGTATCTTGCTGAACTGAACTCTGCTGAGCCACATACCACTGCCCGCCCCCCTCCCCCAGCCATCCTTTTTAAGAAACAAAGAAGCAGGCTGCACAGATGCCAAAGCCAGGAGAGACTGGGGACTGATAGGAAGGAGGCATCTTTGCAGGGGCTCAATCCACCCTAGCTTTGAGAAAGAGTTTTATAATAATCATTACAATTTATTAATTATGTGCTGGGTATACTGCTAAATATTTTACTTCTCATTCTTACAACTCTTTGAGGTAAGTATTATATTAAAACCATTAACAGCCTTTTTTGAGATCCTTTTAGGAGAATGACTTTGGAGTTAGACTGCCTGAGTTCAAATCCCAGTTCTGCCATCCAACAGCTGTATGACCTTAGGTAAATGGTTTAACCTCTTGAGCCTTAGTTTTCTCATTTGTAAAATGGGAATATTACAGTATTTTCTCCTAAGGCTGTTGTAAGAATTCAAGTTAAGTACTCAGGAATTTTCTAAATGAGAATTATCATTATTACTATTACTACTAGATGGCTAGTGCTATTATCATTCTTACTATTACTACGTTGTTCTTGCAGGCTGTCGAGTTGATTCCAACTCATTGTAACCCTACCGGACAGAACAGAAATGCCCCATAGGGTTTCCTAGGCTGTAATCTTTATGGGAGCAGATCGCTAGGTTTTTTGTCCCACAGAGCAGCTGGTGGGCTTGAACAGGCCAACCTTTCTTTCACCAAGCACTATAACCACTGGGCAATCAGGGTTTCTATTATTATAACAACCCGTTGCCATCGAGTCAATTCCGACTCATAGCAACCCTACAGGACAGAACAGAACTGCCCCATAGGATTCCCAAAGAGCAGATGGTGGATTTGAACTGCCAGCCTTTTGGTTAGCAGCAGAACTCTTAACAATTTTGCCACCAGATGCTTCCAAATATCACACACTCTTAAAACTGAGTAAGGTTAAGAGAGATTGTGGCTTCATCAATAAAGCAAGACCAGAACCATTTTCTGATTTGGTGATGAAGGCTGGGGCCAGAAGCAGTTTTCTGAGTACAAACCCAGTGATGTGATGCCTCTGACGAACTCTTCAGGACAGCCTTTGTTTGCCATGCCCTAGGCAGATCCAGCAGATTGACACAGTGGCTGCAACAATGGGCTCAAGCATAACAATGATTAGGAGGATGGCGCAGGACCGGGCAGTGTTTCGTTACGTTGTACGTAGGTTCACTATGAGTCAGAGCCAACTCGACAGAACCTAACAACAACAGGCAGATCCAGCCACTCCCTCCTCTGGAGCCCTACATTCTCTACAGACCTCTGTCCCAGCAACACTTGCTGCACTTCTGTATTCACACATTTGCTTTATTGATTCTTTGCAATCCCTGCCTCTAGCACTGCCCTGGTAACCAGCAGATGTTCAGTGACTTTCTGCTAGTGAGCAGGTGAAAGAATCCAAGGTGGGCATTGTTTCAGTATATGGTTTTCCAGTGTTCCTGACATGGCTACTCCTTAAAAGTGAACTGTGTAGTAGGTGTTCCTGAGATGAACCCAAGTCCCTCACTCATCAGTAGGACAGAGGGGAGACAAGATCAATGATGAGAGAGAAAACAGGAAGAACAGAGATGCAGGGGGCCACCAGGGTTCATGTTCAGTGTACTACAGGAAGTAGAAGCTCAACAGAGAGGTTGCATCTACAGAACAGAGAGGTTGCATCTGCAGCCCACAGACTGCTGATTCTGGAATTTCTGTGGTGGGAAAGATGTACGAGGTCCTCACCAAGCAGGAAGCAGCAAAGGCCAGAAATCACCATCACTGTCAGCAATCAACACAGTGAGGGAGACCCAGCCTTCCTTTCCTGTATTTTATCTGGTAGCCCTCAGACAAGCCCAACCAGCGGGCCCCACTGTGCTGGTTTAATGGAACTAACACTAGGCAAAGAGCTAGGAGATCTGAAGTCTGTTCCTGAGAATGTATTAATTTTTCAGTTAGAAAATATTACTTGAGTGCCTACTACATCAGGCATTGTGCTAGGCACCTGTCAGACCTTAGACAAGTCACTACTTCTCTGAGGCCTAGCGTCCTCATATGACGTAGAAGATAATCTTTATGTCACAGGGTTGCTTTGAGTATCAGATGTGCTTTGAAAAGCATGCTGTACAACTTTGCAAATGTAAAAGTGGTATTTTTATTGGGTCTGAATTAGAAGGCTTAGTAAAACCGAGGATAAGCCTACCAAATGCAAAGGACAACTCCTTCTGCCAGGATCTGAATAGAAATCTAGGAGAATATTCCAAAGTCCAGTGGCGGAGATGGTGATGGAGGACCAGAAATTTCACACATTCTCTTCAAACCCCTCTCCAGATCTTTCCTGTAGTTACTGGTGTCACAGTGTTCATCATAGGAACTACACTGTGGACCTCTTGGATGAGTCCCCTGAATGCAATTCAAACTTCTTATAGCAAAAATAGAGTTAAACTTCATGGGTCAGAGGCACCTTTCCAGACGCTGAGCTAATTACCCAACCTCTGGTCCTTCAACTGGTTGGAAACATTCGGGGGCCATTAAGCCTGTTGTTTCCTCATTTTCCTGCTCACTAGGATAAACACATCACCACAGAAGGCGTGAAACTCTAACAATACTCTCTGATTAGTGGTTTGCAAAAACCCCTATTATTTTAGGACTTTTCTGGCTAGAAAAGGAAGAATCCAAAACAAACCTGTTGCTGTCGAGTCGATTCTGACTCATAGCGACACGACAGGGCAAAGTAGAACTGCCCCACTGAGTTCCCAAGGCTGAAATTTTTATGGAAGCAGACTGCCACATCTTGCTCCCACAGAGCAGCTGGTGGGTTCAACCACTGAGCGTTTAACCACTGCACCACCAGGGCTCCTTAAAAGGAAGAATACCCTTTGCCGTCGAGTTGATTATGACTCATAGCGACGCCACAGGACAGAGCAGAACTGCCCCATAGGGGTTCCAAGGAGTGGCTGGTGGATTCGAACTGCTGACCTTTTGGTTAGCAGCCAAGCTCTTAACCACTGCGCCACCAGAGTTCCAAAAGGAAGACCAGTAGAGTGCAAATAGTGGTGTGGCCCAAGAGGGAGTCAGGCATCTTGAGCTTTAGACCTGCTTCTGCCATGGACTGGCTCTGTAACCTAGGTATAGATCTTACTTGATTCATCTAGAAAATGAGGGACTGGACCAGATTAGTGTTGTATGAACTTCCACGGAAGACCTGTGTTCCTTGAGATGTTAATGAGAGTTCCTCAGAAAAGGGGCTCCAAGGTCAAATAAAAATCGGAAACTTGGCATACTCCACTCCTCCTCCTCCCCAAGACTACAATGCACAGTAAAGACTCTGAGAAGTCAGCAGTAAAAAAAATGCATTCAGCATAATTCAATCTGACATCTTCCAAATTATTAACATCTCTTCTGAGTAAGACAGTTTAGGGGACACTGAAACAGATCTCTATGGTCCCTATTAGCCCTAACCTATTGTGATTCGTATCAGAAGTACTTAGCCAGAGTCTAGAGCACCCCTGCTTTCCACTAATCCAGTTCTCTTCACCTAGTGAGACACTTAAATGATATTCTGGTAAATAGGGATTTATTATACGTTCTGGGTAGTGCAAAAGCTTTGTGCTCATCTAACCTAAAGGCTGAAGGTTCAACCCAGTGGTACTGCAGAAGAAAGGCCTGGCAATCTGCTTCCATAAAGATTACAGCCAAGAAAACTCTATGGAGCAGTTCTACTCTGTAACACACAGGGTCTCCAGGAGCTGGAATTGACTCCATGGCAACGGGTTTGATTTTTTTTTTTTAAATATGTAGCTCATTTTACTGCAGTGAAGTGTACCAATTTTCAAAGACTCAGAATACAATACACTTAGAACACTGAGATGGGAAACCTGTAGTCAGTGAGTTCCTATTACATGTTCTGTACTGTGCTGGCATCTTCCATATGTTATATTGTTTAATCCCTAGACAACCAGAAGGGGTAGATAATGGTTATCCTCCTATTACCGAGAAAGAAACAGAGGCTCAGAGAGGCTAAGTAACTTGTCCGAGGTCACAAAGGTAGTGAGCACCAGATTTCAAACTCAACACTACTTGTCTCCCAAATCTTGGTTGTTTTGGGTTGTGGCACCATTATTATCAGAGGGTCACTAACCCTCTCTAACCTTCTCTGGGCTGTGGTCTCCTCAACTGTCAAATGGGAGTAGTACTCCTTGCACTGCTTCCCTCACAGAGTTGCTTTAAGACTCAAAGGTAGTGGGGTATGAAAGAGCTCTGTAACGTATAAAGATATGAATACAAGGGGCACTTGAAATATCATGGATAAATGTTGATGTTTCCATTCATGATTTATAAGGTACTTAAGGTTCTTGCAGGTACCCATCATGAAAGTCAATTGTCCTTACTCAGTCATTCCCCAAATAGTGCTCCTGAAAATTTTCCAGTTAGGAGTGAATAAACAGGAAACATGCTCATTCTCTCAGTATTGATTACTCTTCAGGTTTTCTTGGCAGAGTCACATTAAGCAGCCAAACTACTTCTTAAGGAGTCAGGAGTAAAAATAGCCAAGTGGGTGGGAGCCTGGTGGGAGGCCTGAAGCCAGGAATTACCTATATAGAGGAGATGCTAGATTGGTTGTGGGGCTAGACTCCTTACCCTCATCTTGGAAAATGCCTGGGAAATGAGTCCAAAGGGTCACTGGGACAGCAGTTTTCATCAGCCTTTGTATGAAGTCTATCCAGGAGACAAACAAGTGTATGTGAACGGGCGGGGGACGGGGTGATGGGAGACAGGGAATGGGACCAAGGCTGGTCAGCTTCACTTTGATGTGGGATGGAGAATACCTTGGCAGGGATCTAGGTACAGCAACAGCAGTGGATAGGGCTAGCGCTCTCAACTCATCCTCTAGCCATGCCTGGGATCCCACCCTCATGATCCACATTGCAGTGGCCATCTGCTCCTTCCAGCTTCTAGTAGGCTAAGACCAAAAACAACAGCAAAGCATTCTTGGAGCCAGGCTCTGGGATGGGGACAGAGAAGTAAATAACAAAAGTCCTTGCTCTTAAAGAAGTCATTACACCAAGAGGGTTTATTGGCATGTCTGTCTCCTAACTAGGGGCTCTACTGTATAGCAAAGTCTCGCATATGGGGTACAGTTAAGAATCGTTTGAACTGAACTGAATCAAAGGAGACCACATTGTATGACTAAAGAGCACCTGTTCAGTGTAAGAAGCCCTGGACTCCAGTCCTGTTTCTGACATGAATGACTAAGGGACTTCGGGCAAATTACTTAATTTCTGTGGACCCCAATCTACTTACCTGTAAAACCACAAGTTGCTGCCAGCAGCCAATGTGATAACGCCCTATAAACAGCATGATAGAGGAGCAGGGGATGGAGCACAGAGGCCCATGGTCTTAAAGTTCAGAGCTCAGCCTGGGAAGGTTGAAGTAAGTTCCCTTTCTTTCTCAGACAGCTTAGGTGTACTTTTCACATATTTGAGACATTCTTTGCATTTCTAGTGACTGTGAAAGGGGGAGACGGGGAAATTTTACCACTCCAGTAGGGGAAAGAAAGGTTGCCATCGCTCTACTTTTCAAAATTTGTTTGGATCCACTGTCATGCAAAACAGACCTGGAGTTATAATCCTAGCTTTGGTAATCAAAAGCTGTAAAACAAGCCTTAACCCCTGAGTCCTAGTTTCCTCATCAGTAAAATGGGGAAAAATTTCCTACATCATACGATTACAGTTAAGATTCAATGACTTAATGATGTGAAAAGTGTTTTGTAACCTATAAAATGTTACACAAATGCCAGTCATTATGAAGTTGTCTTCACATCAGCACATGAGCTACACAGGACAGGTGTTTATCAACACTTGACAAGTAAGATCATCAAAGCCTAGAGGAAATGCTGAAAGTAACACACAGCTCAACTTGACTTTCTCCAGCAGAGGTAATTTTCCCTTTGATTTATTATTTGTTGCTGTTGTTGGCTGTCGTCTAGTTGCCCCCAACTCATGGTGACCCCATGCACAACAGAAGGAAATGCTGCCTGGTCCCATACCGTCCCTATGGTGTGTTGCAGACTGGATTACTGTGATCCACAGGGTTGTCAATGGCTGATTCTTGGAAGTTAATTGCCAAGCCTTTCTTCCTAGTCTATCTAGTCTGGAAGCTCTGCTGAAATCTGTTCAGCATCAATCACAGCAACACAAAAGCCTCCACTGACAGACGCACCGTGGCTGTGAATGAGATGGATATTACAGAGATCGTTTATTAGCTTGTTTGCCTCATGAAACTGAGATCTCTGAGAGAGATTACATCTTATGCATTTTGCCCAGCATGGTAAACCTAAAAAACCTTACATAAATGTTAGCTGAATGATGAGTAATTAACACATTGGCAGCAGAAACACATCTCGAACCCAGGACTCCTAATCTCAGGTCCAGAGTACTTTAAAGCCATAGAGAAAGTAGCCCAAACCTCCTGGATCTAGCCCGTCTTGACTTCTTATCTCTTCCTCAATTCCTCCACTCTTCCAAGACTCAACTCTCCATCCCTGGAAAGAGCCTCTGGCTCTTTGCAGGTGCTAGTCCCTTAGCCTTTGAACATGCCACCATCTGCTTCCTTGCTGAGCTAACTCCTATTTGTCTTAGTTACCTGGTGCTGCTGTAATGAAAATACCACAAGTGGGTGACTTTAAAAAACAGAAATTTATTTTCTCACAGTTTAGGAGGCTAGAAGTCTGAATTCAGAGCACCAGCTCTAGGGGAAGGCTCCCTCTCTGTTGTCTCTGGAGGAAGATCTCTTTCAGTTTCTGTAACCCTGGCATTCATCAGTTTTTCTCAGTAATCTCCATGTGGCATCTATCTTTCCTCCATTTGTGCTTGCTCATCTCTGTGCCTAATCTGTTCTTTTTATATCTCAAAAGTGATTAGGCTTAAGACACTCCCTATACTGGTATGGCCTCATTAACACAATAAAGAAAACCCTATTTCCAAACGTGACTTCCACAGGTAGGATTCCAACCCATATTTTGGGGGGAACATAATTCAATCCACAACACTATTTAAACCTCAGACTTCTTGGAGGCCTTTCTAATCTTGGCCCTAATACTGGATCATGTGTCCCCTCCTCCTCTGTGTCTGTTGTGTTTATCACAGAATCCTGGTACACAGAAAGTGCCAAAAGTATCTGTTGAAGGTTGAATTAATGAAATACTAGGTCTAGAAATCCAAAGGTGATACAGGGCAAAGATTCCTGACCTGGAAGTCAGGAGGCTGGGGCTTGACTAATTTTCATTCTAGCTCCACCACTAATGTGCTAGGTGATTTTGGGCAAGCCCCAACCTTTCTTCGGACCATCCATAAATGAGCTAACATCTATAAATGATTTTAAAAGGCCCTTCCAACACTGACAGTATACAAGGCTTGGACTCATGCTAGTCCCAGGGGTGAGGTACTTCTGAAGCCAGCTGTGTGTGCCATAGTAGAGGAGGTCCAACATCTGCCCCACCCCCCCCAAGCCCCAGCAGCACCAGGCACACTGGGCTCTGCTGTCAGCAGCCTCCCAACCCGTTGGTTTACTTAATTCCTCCTGATGAAGTGCCAAGAATAAACAGTACGTGAGCAGCAGCATTTTAAAGAGTCCAGAGCCTAATGAATCTTTTCCTTCCTGCGTCAATTAGAATTTCAAAGCTAGGATCCCCAAGGACCAATTTATTGGGAACAGAGAGAAGCCTTTTATTCATCAGCTGCTGCCTGAGCTACCTGCCCTGGCCCTGTATATCT